ATTTGTGTCAATCTTGATGGTATCAGTTTATAAATTTTACTGTTCTGTTATCATGGAAGGATACGAAGGATATTTTCACCTGCGCCCAATACCACGAGAAGTTGCCAAGGCAATGGACATGTGCTTAGATTCACAGATATCTTGCCGATTCCAGTTCTCTTGTTATGATAAACGAGCCTTGCCTCATTGCAAACAAGTGTCAACGATATTTCATCACCGGTACGCATCGAATAAACACCGCTTGCAACATGAATGCCTCCGATGACTGGAAATTTTGTGTCCCACCAACCGTAACTGGAAGATAACTTAAACGCAGTAGCTGTCATCTGCTCATTCGATGAACTGATTCCAATAAAAATACTATTGTTACTCAACTGTTCGATTCGAAATCGAATTTGATGAGTACCCGTGGAATATAACTTCGCACCACGAATACTCGCCGAGTGAACATTTTTCTTCTTTGCAATCAAATTATTTTCGTCGAGTTCAGCATCGCCAACTACTTTTTCAAATTTTTCAGCATTTCCACTCAGTATTTTCCCTACAGTATGAGACAAACATGTGAAAGATGACAGGATTGGATTTACTGAACATGTTTCTGTTGTATTACTATTGTCTGCTGCATAATGTTGATCATGATTTTTTGTCATTTTTATAAATTGAATGGGTTCAACTTCAGGATCGGCTGATAGTTTCAAAGATTCTAATGCTTTTGGAATATCTTGCCGACATTTTTTTATCTCGTTCATCCATTGATCAATATCACTCTCGGAATGATTTGAATCGCGACAAGTTTGAATTTGATGTGAAATTCGATCAAAATCTGATTGAAGACGATTAGTATTCGCTTCAAGTAACTGAGAGAGATCAGCACGAGCTAATACTGCTATGATCTGAACTTTAGTTGTCGATTCTTGTTCCCATTCGTTTATTTGAGTAAATATTGGATGATTATCGGTTACATTCCGCATGTGTTCAATGTCATGTTCCAATAGACTGAGTTCTTTTTCGACGCTTTCCATTCTTAGATGGATATCTTTTCAACGTGGATTAAGATGATTCCAAATAAATATCTATCTGAAATTTTCAAACATGTCCATACCATTTATTGACTTCAAAGGATGGAGACGCTTTTTTTATTTGTCATCCTTTCTTTTCTGGAGAGCAATAGTCGTGCTTACAACTACTCAATTTTATATATGTGGGGAGAAAAAGCAGAACTATAATTCAAACAGGAGAAAACAGTAGAAATAAAATAAGGTTTTTTATAATAGGTTGCATAAAATTTTCATTCTTCTTCTTTCACACGTGGTAGATTATGTTTGTGCCAATGTATGAAAGAAAAAATTGCAAGTGTAAGTATGAGTAAAATTCTTCCTTTCTCACGGACGTATTCGACAGGTAAACTATCGAAAGACAGGACAACTTTGGTAAACAGCGATGCATGTGTCGTTGAAATACATGTAGAATTACAAAATAGATTTCGCATATAATTCTTACGATTGTTCAATATTGTTGTTGTACGAACACTCATAAACGTACCTCTATCCTTATGATAATTTAAGCAAATAAACTGGCATAAATCTGCTTGTGTTTCACATGTTGTGAATGACATAAAACCTACATTTTCGAACGCTCATTAGCATTTGATATATTCATGTCAGCGGTTTCATTCGCAGTCAAAAATGTTAACACAGGTGTTGGTTTACTTTCTTCAATCACCCACACAAACACATGTGCATTTACATCAACAAATCATTCATATCTACAGTCTCGATCGTGCTGAACAACATATAGGATGTTGCATAAATTTCGACTCCCTTTTATTATCTTTGTATCTTGGCCGTAATTGCAGGTGGAAGTGTACTGAATGTATGTGTTAGAAGAGTAACACACAAGCTATCATCTAAGAGAGATTGAACTTAATTCGTATCAATTCATAGAAAGTGTGCATTGGTCAATATGTTGAACTTTTATTCATTCTGGTTCAGCTAAAGTAGATTTATTACTGAAAAGAAGACCATTTCGGAATCTTAAGAACTTGAACTTGAGTATGGGTTGTGATTTCGAGAATAAATCTACTTTATTCTTTGATATTGTCTTTATAGAAATGTGATTCACTACATACGAAAAAATGAAATATAGTCACGTCAAAAAAAGTGACTTTGATAATTTTTTTTCAAGATTTTGACCGATGCAGTACTTTCTTTGGGTTGATGCGAATTAAATTCAATCCCTCCAGTATGAAACAATTAAATTTCATAGTTGAATTTTAAAGAATTAATCAATAAGAATACTTATAAGAAATAAATCATTTTGAAAAATTTTACTGAAAAGTTCTTTTTATTTGATTAAAAAAAAATACTGTAATTTGTAGAGGACCTATAAAGTTTTAATCAAAGAGAGTTTTTCAATTTAGTAGAGCTATTGCAATTTTAAGAAACTCATAATGTACGAGCTTGATCGTAATTTATAGTGGTAGGGATGTGAAATGTTGGTGGATTCCAGTACTCTATTCACATCCACACCCGCACTTCTTCACAAGCTTATATCCTGAATAATGTGATTGTTCGACTTATGTTTGATAATATCTTTTGCGAAAAGTCAATATTTGCCTTTTTTGTGAAGCATTTTGAGGACGATTGTGAGAGTCCGAACCTAGATGAATGTTGACGACCACTTTATGTCCCATATTGTTTTCTCAATTGTAAGAGTTGACGATTATCTCCTCTGAAATGACAAATGCCTTGGGTCCTAGTTGTGTTAATTTTCGATGCGAAACAACAAATGTTCTATAATGGTGGCTACTAGTCTATACACAGAAAAAAGTCTAAATTTTTCTATATTAGTCAAAAATAAGAGTTTTAAAGAGTAGTTTTTGAAATTTGCTTGTATAAATAAAAACTTGCTAGAACACACTGTTCATGTTCAAAGAAAAAAACCAATTTTTCCTATTTTGATAGGGAGAGAAATTTTAAAAGAATTTTTGCTTCATACATCCTCTCTCATCAAATAAGCTTGGTTTTCAATTCTCTAATCTTCATCTGTATAAAAATAAACCACGGAATAATACTACATCCAAATTTGATCAAATCATAATATTAAAACTTAAATCATGTACACTTATTTATCGAAGTTTCTATTTCTGTATTTGATATAAAATATTTCATAAATTACTTAGAAAAGTTTCTAAAGCATTTAGCAGGTTTCTATCGTTTTAATTCACAAAATGTTACAATCTTATAGAAACTGATAAAAATCCACTTATAGATATTAGATATTGCTTGATTTCAGATTTAAAAACTCTGATCGATCGTTTTTAAAATGTTTCCATATATTGACGAAAATGATTCAATAGTCATCCTATAAATGTTTTTCGATACATCTCACGATAGTAAACAATCTACTAAGAAGACACGATGAAATAAAACGTAATGCCATGTCTATGTTAATTCCACAGAACATAATCGTAATAATTAGCTGACAATCAACTAGATACTGTTTATCGATTGCAATTAAGAAACTATCTATACAATTTCGTGACATCTGAATATATATTAAAGTAATGATGCTAGTAAAACAAACATGAATGTAGCGAATAAAAGTTTATTATTTCCAATAGAGAAGAACTACTAATAAATATTGTAGAAGCATCAAATTTAGCCAAATAGATGTTTATAGTTCTATTCATATTTGCTAATTTTAAGCCATAATCAATGAGTATGATAAAAAAAAAACGAAGTAACTAGAAAATAATAATCAAAACTGCAAGCGATGGAAATACATAAAAATATAAAGCATATGTATTATTGCGTAATTATCTTAATATGAAAGTAAGAAGATTACGAAAGCTTCTCTCTGTTCCACAATAATAACGAAATTTAAAACGCATCATGTTTTACAACTGTGATCAGTTAACATATTGTATGAAGAGAATTGCTGGATATAATAACTGACAATACTTTAAAACAAAATTAGCACAAAATATTTACTATAGATTATATTTAGTATCACATAAAGACTGAATAATAATAATAAGAAGAAGAATAACAAAACAAAGAATTGCAAATAACCAGAATACTTTGATTATTTACATGATAATTGTTCGTGCAGCTGGATTTTCTTCAATTTTCTACGAAACTACATTTTTCCAAGGAGCTTCATCAAAATATGAAATGATTAAAACATATTTTATCTAACATTTCTAATATAAAAATCCAGACTAAAATCGTAATATAGTGAAGGGATACTATTCTATTAACTAAATTATAAATTAGGTTAAAACATGTTTAGAGACAGATATATTATTTTTGAAAAGTATTTAGAATCTTTATCTTTAATGACACTCATTGCAGGGAATATTTGAAATACTTATTAAAAATATCGATTTAATAAAAGAAAAACTCTTCAAATCACTATCAGAGACCGAGTTGGGAAAGAATTTTCCATTTCTCGGTTCATCGATATATATATATATATATCCAGAAACGAAACAAACTTATTTTGATTCAACTTCGAGAATATAGTCATGGTCAACTGACGGATCAATAAATAGAGAACTTCATATTCAAAAGTTTCCTTCGGAAGAAAATAATGTGAAATGTATACTGTTCAAAGAAAATATTTAGGTTGAATTACCATTAGAACAAATATTACCAGAAGTTTACTACAAAAGAATTGTTCAGGACTTTCGAATAATTTTTTTCAAAAACTTGTTGACATTTATCGGCCGATTTAGAATTTCAAGTAGCTTTTGTCTTGAAAGTAGTTTATCAATCTAGGTTTTTAAACCATCACATTTGATCAACTAAACATTAGAAAATGTTTCCAGCTGTTAATTTACAAGAAGTCTTTATGTAAAAAACAAACTCAATAATATTTAACAGCGAACAGTTTTCTATTAAAACAGCTAAGAATGAAATCTTTGAAAAATAAGTGTTCCATTATTTATAGATCATTGATTACAATTAAGTTACTTTATAATATCAATCATAAAAACACATCTTAGTTCAAATATATATATCCTCATTAAAAATAGAAATAGGATTGACAAAAATTTCAATGTGTTTGGCTTAATACTATCTAACACTTCCGTCATAAAAAATTATGCTCATCAGTATGCTTGCACCTTCTTAATATAGATACTTCCATTACAAAATTTTCAGTTGAAGATTTGTGAACCGCCACACCTCTTTTCGATTTCTAGTCTCTGTGAACGGTAAAATTATTTCGGAGACTAATTTTGAATTCCTAAAAAAATGTTATGTCTCTTGGAAATCTAATGACGAAATGAAAACTACAATATCAAGCTATGAATACAGCCAAATCCTAACCGAATACATCAAACACTATCAAACTTTTTAGAAAAATCTCAATCATCGGATTTCTTAATGGTAATACGACATCTTGACACATCAATCTTCGCACATTTTCACAGTGCTCCTCTACCTGTGGACCCGTATTGCAAATATAATAGTATCGTGCTAAGAATTGCATCAAAGCTTAGATTAACGTAGGCTTTTGACAATTTTTCTTTTTGCTCTCTTCGTTTGTTTTTTTTGAAAATTGATGAAGAATTGACCAATAGGACAAAACTCGTTATTTGAGAGTACAAAAAACGTTGTCACGAGCAAGCTCTAAAGTAATTTAATCTTCAAAACAAATTATATCACGTTCTTTGCAGTTGTTGACGACTGATGACGGACGATTACAAGCGGAAACGAATGATCAATAGGCTGCTTAGGTAACTTAAGACGAGTATATTTGCATTACAATAAATATGCAACTAGTTCTATTCGGTTTTTTTTTGTTAGTAGTTTGATTCATACAAATGTTCATTTTTCTACGTTAAATAAAGTAAATAATATTGAAATGAATTTCTTCTTTCTTATTCAATTATATTCTTTCTTACTGAATGGCAGTGCATGCAATAGAATCAATAAAAATGAATTATTATGTTGATCGTGACAAAAGTGCAACACAATGCTCTTGTTGTAAACTGTCAATGAATTGTTCTAAAACT